GCTGATTAGTTTTTAGCGAAGGCAGGTCTGATTTCTAAAGTCGTCTCAGGATTTTTGGCTAAATCGTAGACGAAAAATTTTGCACTTTTCTGCTAATTCCAAAGAAACGGCTTGGCCGCTCGTATCGCAAATATAATCAAGGCTGCTCCTCATCAAATTTCATCGAATGACTCTTAAATTTTTGAAATCGATCAAATTTTGTACCAAACTCATAGTATTTATTATTTGAATATTGACTTGAAATTTTATGCTGAGAAAACGTAAAATTAACAAGTTGGATTTTTTGGCATAAAAAATGTTAATTAAATTTTATAAAATATCAATTAATCAAAAACTACATAAATACTAAATTATCTAATTATATTAATCACTTTAAAAGCAAAAAAACTAGAGTTTAGATAAAATTTTCTACAAAATTTTATAATTTATATCGCACAAACATTATTAGAAAATTTAATTATTTTGAGAATGACACATATATTAATTAAATATCTCATTTATTAATTTTTTAATCTAAAAAGATTACATTATATGCATATATGTATTGTACTTTTTAATTTCCGTTTCAAACACGTTCAGACATTGCATCATGTTTAATTTTGCGGATTCTATTTCTTTATCTAAATCTTTTTAGATTAAATTTACATGGAATTTATATTCCGCATAATCTTTCTCTCTGATAACACATATATGTACTATTTATTTATATTTACTGAGAAGAATGACGCAATTTAAAATTCTAACCATGTTTTAAATTTTAAATCGATTACGAATTTTGTTTTAATCTATACTATATAGATTAATATTCGTAACAATCAACAAAATAATTATCGGCATATCTCAATAAAAATTAAATTAATATTCAAATGAATAAAAACTATGATCGGTCAAAAGAAAAAAAAAGTACAAATAAATGTCTAATAAAATTAATCGATTTTTCTCCATTATTATATTTTGCATGTTACATCTACGAAACACGTGTAACGTAGATGCAACGTAACGAAGTGTTGACATCGAAGTCGACCGACGTTCATAGCTACGTAACTGTAACGTTTT